GTCTGCTCTAGATTTGTGCTTTGTGGTTATCAAGGGGGGGTTCCATAATACAGTCCATTTTAGGTTTATAGAAACTTATCTTTAACCCCTCAGGTATCCATTATTTTGCTCCTCCCTTTTGCATATTGATGCCACAGTTTACCTCTTTTCTATATTATTTATTAACTTATAGTAGGTATAGTTATTTTTCCTATATACTATAGTTGAGTAGTTAACACACCATCCTCCTACAGAATTAAAGTTTTCTAAGTCTGGCTGTATGTTTCTCATCTTTACCAGAGTATTTTGTAATTTTTTATGTTTTCATTTCAGCTTGAAGAACTCCTTTCAGCATTTCTTGCAAGGCAGATCTAATAGTGGTGAACTCCCTCAGATTTTGTTTGTCTGGGAGAGGCTTTACTTCTTCATATCTAAAGGATAACTTTGCTAGATAAAGTAGTTTTGGCTGGCCATTTTTATCTTTCAACTCTTCAAATATGTCATTCCACTGTCCTCTGACCTATTGAATTTCTACAGAGAAATCTGCTGATAGCGCTATTGGCAGTCCTTTGTAAGTTCTCTTCTTTTTTTTTCCCTTGCCTGCCTTTAATATCTTGGAGAATGTCTTTTTGCATTGAGATACTAGGATGATCTACTAGCTTTGTGGACTTGTATGTCCAAGTCTTTCCTCAGATTTTGGAAGTTCTCAGCTATTATTCTTTAAGTTAACTTCCTGCCCCTGCCTTCTCTGTCTGGAATTCCGATTATCCTGACATTTGTCAGGATGTATGGATGGATATATGGATATCCATAGAATATCCATAGATCATGTAGGCTTTCTTTGCTCTTTTTCTAAGTTCCCTCTTCTCTTTTGTGTTGTTTCAAAATTTCTATCCTCCAAGTCAGTTTTTCTATCTTCATATGCTCTGCCTTGCTACATATTCTCTGCATTGCATGCTATCCAGCTCCAGAATTTTTGTTTGGTTCTTTTTTAAAATTTCTTTCTCTTTAATAAAGGGTCATTTTGTTCACATATTTTATTCCTGATTTTATTCAGTTGTCTTTCTGAGTTTTCTTGTAACCTGTTGAGTTTTTTTATAACATCTATTTTCAACTCTTTATCAGATAGGTTGCAATATTCTGTGCCTTTGAGTTTGATTGATTGCTAGAAATAGATAATTTTTATGTGATGCCATGTTTCCTTGATGTTTCATAATCCCTTTAGATTTGCATTGTTGTTTTTGCATATGAAGTTGCAAAAACTTTTTTCTTGTTGCCTTCAGCAGATGGTATGTTATATTCTATAGTGTTGATATTATCCAAGTTTTTACTGTTTTCGTGAATTTATACCTGCTCCAGTCTTCTTGTTCCCTCTTTTGGGTGAGTTTTTAAACATTTATGCCATCTCTGTTTCTTACAGTTCACCAGGCTGGCTATTGGAAACCTCTCTTGTTTTCTAAAAGGTTGCTATAGCTCAAGTTCATGGTTTCTGAGCATGCTCTCAGTCTACTGGAGCTTTCTCTTGCATTGGCACTTGGGACCCCACACAAGGAGCAAACAAACATAGAGTGGGGGGAAAGTGGGTTTACCACTGGGTACATTGGGGGCACCTGCAGATCCAGTAGGGTGATCCCAGTGGCTCCTAGGTGGATTTCTGCTAAGAACAATCCCTTTCCCACCAACTGAAGTTCTAACTTGCATCTTTCCTAATATCCTCCCTACCCCTGGTTCTAAAGCTCCCATCTTAGTACTCCAGTTGCTGGTGGAGAAATGATTTTTCCAGTCTAGCTGGGATAGCTGGGCACTCACTCACTGCTTTCCTTTTCCCCTTTCACTGTTTCTTTGGGCAGAGGCATGGTGCCAAGAAAGCTTCTCTACTGCCTTCTGTTGCAACCAAACTAGATTTTTTTTTTTTTGTCTCCAGTTATGTGCTGGAGTTTCCCGTTGGGAGGTCTAGACTTCTGCAAGTTCTCTGTCTTGTATGTGAGTGCCTGCCTGGGTCTTTACTGACACAGTTTTTTGCCTGGCAAGAACAAAAGGGGTCTAGGCAGTTTGGCTGGCTCCTCTGGTTCCCCACCTCGAGCAGACGTTTGTCTCTTACCATCTTTGTGGTGAGTGAGACAACTCCTGTGTTCCTTGGAATAAGACACTAGGTCCCAGAACACCACAAAGGCACTTTTCCTCATGTATGAATGTCCAATTTGTTGATTTAAAAAGGAATAAATAGTAGGAACATTTTATGTCATCATATTGCTAATATCACTCTCCAGGATCATCAGACTTTCACGTTAGGAAGTACACTTTGGGTGCATGGTCAACATTAGAAGCATGAAATGAGGGAACACTTATAGGAGTCTTACTTCCCCATCTAAAGATAATGCAAACATTTGATTTTGTATATAGCATTCTATCATTTTTAAAGTCATTATAGTATATTGGTCTAATAGATTTTTCCAAATGGAACAGTGGAATGGTGATACATCACATTATTTATTCATTAAGCCTACAAGGTAATATTATTGCAATTAATATTTTCCCTCATATTTCTAACTTATTAAGTATTGTATAAAATAGTGGCTTTTTGAATTACTATAAATGTATTGATCTGCACTTTACAAAAAAGAAGGAAGCCATGTAGAGTTTGCAACTTCAAATGCAAATTCATTATAATATAGGATATTTGCTTAAATTTGGTGTCCTTTATGTATAAAATGGAAACTTACTTAGGAAATGTTACAGCTAAAGGGAGATTACCCAAGGTTACATTATATAAGAGTATGAAAATACCTATACCCTTGCCACTTTTCTTTCAATTGAAGTTAAAAAGCACATACATACCAGAGCTACTGCAAAATCTAACTGCCCTAGCCATACTTACAATATACTGCACAAACAAAATTGACCTTACTTTGTTACTAATAAAAATTTTCTTTGTATAATATTACTGAAATCTTATTAAAAGTAGAGAATTATAGTTTCACTAAATGCTGTCTGACTTTATAATTATGTGAAAACTAGTAGCACTGATGAATGTAAAATATATTTCACTTTAATTAGGTGGTTGAAAACAAAGGCATTTTATATTTCAGTAGCATAGAAGTCTCTAATTCCATACATGCTTCATAGAAACTGAACTCTTGTTGACAATATTTTAGTTTATTATATTGCCATGAAGTATTTTAATGGTTAATGGTAAGTTAGTAAAATTAGTAATGAAAGTGAAAATTCTCATAGTTGTTTTTGCAGATCTTAAGTAGACAGTACACACGATATTTCCGTTAATCTACTCCACTAGTTATAAATGACATACAAAATGGTTTTGGTAGCCATAATTAGTTTTTCTTGATTTATATATAACCTTTTTTGGTTACTGCTTTCTGCTATCATGGTAGACATATATAAACCACATCAGTAACAAGCATTCTGAAAACTATTGTCCATTATAGTACTAGTTTTTGATTTTTTAAAGTAATTTTATTATAAATTATTTGAATAAGAGTACATATTAAGTGTAGATTATTTTGTAGAATGCTATTTTAATGGTATAGGAGAATCTGTCATTTTTGCACAGCAAAGGAAACCATAAACAAAACGAAAAGACAGGACTTCCCTGGTGGCACAGTGGTTAGGAATCCACCTGCCAATGCAGGGGACACGGGTTCAAACCCTGATCCAGGAAGATCCCACATGATGCAGAGCAACTAAGCCTGTGCACCACAACTACTGAGCCTGTGCTCTAGAGCCTGCAAGCCACAACTACTGAAGCCCGTGCTCCACAACAAGAGAAGCCACCACAATGAGAAGCCCGCGCACCGCAACGAAGAGTAGCTCCTGCTTGCCGCAACTAGAGAAAGCCCGCACACAGCAACAAAGACCCAATGCAGCCATAAATAAATAAATATATAAAAAAAAATAAAGACAACCTAAAGAATGGGAGAACATATTTGCAAACAATGCAACCGGCAAGTGCTTAATTTCCAAAATACACAGACAGCTCATACAACTCAACAAAAAAGACAACCCAATCCAAAAATGGGCAGAAGACCTAAATAGACATTTCTCCAAACAAGAAATACAGATAGCCAGTAGGCACATGAAAAGATGCTCAGCATCGCTAATTATTAGAGAAATGCAAATCAAAACTACAATGAGGTACCACTTCACACCTGTCAGAATGGCCATCATTAGAAAGGCTACAAATAACAAATGCTGGAGAGGGTGTGGAGAAAAGGGAACCCTCCTACACTGTTGGTGGGAATGTAAGTTGGTGCAGCCACTGTTGAAAACACTATGGAGGTTCCTCAGAAAACTAAAAATAGAATTACCATATGATCCAGCAGTCCCATTCCTGGGCATATATCCAAACAAAACTATAATTCAAAAAGATACATGCACCCCAATGTTCATAGCAGCACTATTCACAATAGTCAAGACGTGGAAGCAACCTAAATGTCTATCAACAGACGAATGGATAAAGATGTGGTACATTTATACATTGGAATACTACTCAGCCTTTAAAAAAAAGAATGAAATAATGCCAGTTACAGCAACACGGATGCAACTAGAGATTATCATACTAAATGAAGTCAGAAAGAGAAAGACAAATATCATATGATATCACTTACATGTGGAATCTAAAATACGACACAGATGAACCTATCTATGAAACAGGATCATGGACATAGAGTACAGACTGGTAGTTGCCAGGGGAGGGCGTTGGTAGATGTAAGCTTTTATATACAGAATGGATAAACAACAAAGTATTACTGTATATCACAGGGAACTATATTCAATATCTTATGATAAACCATAATGGAAAAGAATATGAATATAAAAAAGAATATGTATATATGTATAACTGAATCACTTCACTGTACAGCAGTAATTAACACATTGTAAATCAACTACACTTTAATAAAAAACGCATTCATCTTATATTAAGTTTATTAAAAATATGGAATATGATTTCCTTTTTATTTTTACATCATAATTTTTTCTCTAATCAATATTTTTTGTTTTAGGTCACTTTTCATATTGAACCATATAAGAATCGAGATGATAAAAACATGTACCAAAATATCAGATACATTATAGACAAGTGAGTTTCTTCTGTCCTATAATTACTGTTATATGATCCAATGATAATTACTGTTATAAGAAAAGTATGTTTATATTTGAGAGATTTGAATGACTTACAGTATGACATATTAAAATTAGTTTAAACTAATTTTGTAATGAATACTGCAATCATTTTAAAGAACATTTCTGAATTTCCTTATAATTTACTTTCTGTATGAATAGTTACAGGTTCCTGTTTTTACTGTTTTATGTGTATATTAGACTATGATTTCTGTCATCTGACATTTAAATTAGTATTCTGCAAATCTTATGAATATAGAGTTGTCTTTTTAAAAGCAAGTTCAGAGTATGAAATGTGAATTACTTTTGCAATTTTGAATTGCTATTAGATATGGTAGATCCACAGCTAATATTTTCATTTAGTATGATTACAAGGAAAGAATTTATTAATACAGTTTCATTTTGTTTAAGGGTTTACTAATAATAGTCTGTGACAGCTGCCATATTCTTACAAAACACATGTCAGCAACAGTGGGACATTTATCCCTTATACAAAAAAAACAGTATTTTCATGTAGAAAATGGGCTTTTTATTGTGTTAGTCATCATTTCTAAACCTCAGTATAATTTCTTGTTTGTTAATGTCTTAATGTATCCAGTATCTCATTTTTCAATGTGTAAAATTAAAAATGCATTTTTAATGTTTACACTTACATAGCTAATTCCCCAAAGGTGAACAATGTGCTTAAACTGCACTGATTACCTTCATTTTCAATACATAAACAATTATTGTCTATTGCAACTGAGTTATGAATATTCATTTTGCTTTCATATATGTTTGTATTCTAGATATGGAAATCATCCTGCCTTTTACAGGTACAAGACTAAGAATGGCAGTGCTCTTCCACTGTTTTATGTCTATGATTCCTATATCACAACAGCTGAAAAATGGGCCAATCTGTTAACCAGCTCAGGGTCTCAGAGCATTCGCAACTCTCCTTATGATGCATTGTTTATTGCACTTCTAGTAGAAAAAAAACATAGATATGAAATTCTTCGAGGTGGTTTTGATGGAATTTATACGTATTTTGCCACAAATGGCTTTACTTACGGCTCATCCTATGAGAACTGGGCTAAGCTAAAATTTTTTTGTGATCAGTTCGACCTAATGTTCATCCCAAGTGTGGGCCCAGGATACATAGATACCAGCATCCGTCCGTGGAACACTCAAAACACTCGCAACCGAGTCAATGGGAAATATTATGAGGATGCTCTGAGTGCTGCACTCCAAGCCCACCCCAGTATAATTTCCATCACCTCTTTTAATGAGTGGCATGAAGGAACTCAGATTGAAAAAGCTGTTCCCAAAAGAATCAGTAATACCGTGTACCTGGATTACCGGCCTCATAAACCAAGTCTTTATCTAGATCTAACTCGTAAGTGGTCTGAAAAATACAGTAAGGAAAGAGCAACTTACTCATTCGATCACCAGCTACCTGTTTCTTAATGCATTGATTAAAGTTTAATAATTATAGATATCACCTAATTTCAATACATTCCTTTTGTTTTGAGTTATGGAAAGAAAACTATCAAAGTCAGTATGTACTATTATCTCTAATAAAAATAATTTGTACATTTTTAAAGGTAGTAATATTATCATTGCCACCTTTCACGATGGCGATGTTGCACTGAGAAAAGTTGTGCAAATAACATTCCTTGTGGCATAATTTGGTGAATTTCTGACTGGAATTGAAATCCTGCTTTATAGCTATTTTTGTTTCACAATAGGTAATTGCTTGTGTTATATAGAGTAGTTAGCACACAATTAAATCCTACTTGTATTCTGGGCCCAAAGAAAAAGGACTGTGTATATATCTGATATGTCTATTGAAGACCAAAGACCTAAAAGATAATGTACATGGTTCCTTTTTCATTTTTTTAATGATCCAGTCAACTTCATCATATTAGCATTCAGACTCTGGATAACTCTCCAATAACAATTCTTCAGAAAAATATCATATGCCTTAAGCCTTACTGTGAACCATATTTTGTTAGGAAGGTCTGCTTTCTATAGTACAATATGTATCATCATTTGCAGATTTTTGGTTTCCTAGAGCTTGCTAGGTGTTTTGCATGTCTAATGTTTCTACATTATAATGCTGAATTTCAGGCTTTAGAAGGAAAATCTTTTCATAAAGGTTAAGGATTGCTTCTCAGTTATTAAAATAAAATAGCTGCTTTACAATTATGAAAATACAGTGCCTCAAATGTTATTTTAGGATACCTTGTCAATCTTTAACTTATTTTATTCATATTTTTCAATTTAATGTTAATCAGAGACCAACTGTTAGATAAGAAAAAGTTGATACTATTATTGGATTGCATTCTTTTAAGATTTTAAACTGTTTTTACTAAAACTAATAGAGAAAATTTACTTACCATTTCAGATTTTAAGGATATGGAAATGAAAGTTCATTACTAAGTTTGACTTTTTATTAGGTATAACACTTAATGATGGAAATATTTAAGACTTTATTGTCTATAATATAACATCCCCATCTAAAAACATTATACTTTTATGTTACCTAACAGGTTAAAGAGTTGTGATCAATTGTCAGTGTGACAAATTAATCATCTGTAAAAATGAATCTCTTTACTTTAAAAACTACAGAATAAAATACACTCCATTATTATAGTTAATATTTGTAACTAGAACTATAGTAAAAAATCTAATCTATATGCTATTACATGAATTTTTTTAGATATTTATCAAATGTAAGCAATAGGGAAATACTAAACAATACATATAAATATTCTGAATATATGGACATTCAGAAACAAATTAGCAGTGGAATTTATCATAAAATAACTCATTAGACAATGAAATTTAATTTTAAGCAGTGCTTTTGAAGTTAACTATCATGTCTTTGAAAAGAAGCATGATTAATGTTAAACTTACTTATAACTGAGAATTTGCCATTTCTCAGAATGTTCAGACCATGGGAAACCAGTATAATAGTAATTTGTAATTCACCTTGTAGAGGAAATTACAAGAATAAATCACTATAATGTTACAACTAAGTATCTTCATAGGAACACTCATACAGATGTAACCTGTGGATTTTTTTTTTCTTACATCCAGTTAGCCACTATATGTTATCTTAGGGATAAACTCTAAATATGTTATACTTAATAATATTTATAACATACCATATTTTATTAAAGTTTAGTTAGAGAGATCTCTAACACACAGGAATTTTTGTCATTGCTTATGTTGTATGTTTGAACCCGTAATGACAGACAATTTTATGAAATAGTTCTGAGATTAAGAGAAAGTGTATAAAAACAAGGTCAGCAAATCCTCAACACGGACACCACCATTTCTCTCTTGCTCCCATTGCAGACATATAGATAGATCATCTAGGACTGCAGAATTTCCCTCTGAGCTTTGTTCTAATGCACTACCCCAACCAGCCACTGACAGTTGGTTTCAAAGTAAGATAAAATAGATTCTGTCTTCATTGCAGAAAGTTAATTAATTCTCAAAGGAAGAATGTTTGGAATCAGCTCTAATGATAGTTTACTGATTTATAACTATTTGAATATGTTTCTTTTCTCCTGTTCTTAAAAAAACAGTTATTAGAAGGAATTATCTCTAATAATTTTGTTATTCTTAGGGAAGAACGCTTTCAAAATCTTCCTCAGGTATTCATTACACCTGCCTTTACCATTTGACTTACAAGTTTAGATTGCATAATCACAAGAAATCAATTCTTTGCTTTTATTTAATTCAATAGACTAAAGTAACTGTTAAAGAAAAACAGTATAATATATGCAATGCATGAATCAAAATGAATTATTTTATGGTTTAATCAGTCTAATTGTTTTGACTGTATAGAAATCAAATCTTTCTTTTACTACTCTCTTTAAGGACTGATATTGTCAAAAACTGCTGTAATTGATGTTGATCTCAGCTGTATATTAACTTTTTTGTTTTAAGAGTAGTTTAAAAAGGACTATTTTGTAACATGAAGTAGTTAACTTTCACCTAATAAAAGCATACAGGGAATAAATTGTATCTTAGATATAAAAATCTGTTTCTTTTTTTATGAAATGTTTTATTTAATTTCTGATTAACAGTTCAAAAGTAGTATTCAGTCGCCACTCTATATATCTTCTCTATTTGAAATATACAGCATTTAAAAAGTAGATATCTTTTAGCTGTACTTTTAAAATCTGTGAATTTGTGTTATACACACAAAAATATGAATTTTTTTAATTTGGAAGATGGTTTCTTATTTTTTTATTCTTTGGGCATAATCATATATGAGCTGCAACATCCGTTAGAAAATTGATCTTACCCTAAAACAGCAAAAGTAACAAGCCACTAGAGAACCTACCAAGTTCATAACCAAGCCCTTTTTGAAACGGATCAGTTATTCAATTTAAACATAGTGACTGCTCCTAAACTCTATAGTGCCTACAGTAGTCCTTAAAAGTCTGTATCTAAATTTTGAATTAAGGTCGAACACTCTCATGTCCTATAGTGTAGAAGCAATACTTTATTTACGACCAGCAAAATTTATTTTTATAAATATTTACAATTTCAAAAGGAAAAATGGAGCCAGAAAGAGTTTTTTGGCTCAGCTATTCCTTTTTTTTAAAAAAAGTAAATTTAAATGTACTTTAAATTTAAATTATATACTGACTGTTATATATCCGCATAAAGGCTAAATGTTATAGTATGCTTAATACAGGATTATTATCCTTCAGAATGCAGGTACTACTTTGGCTTACTTACAGAGTCATCCTTAGTCAAGTCAAAGAACTTAGTGGTAGTGCTATTATATTCCAGCTATCAATGAAGGGGAGAACATTTTTCAATGTTACTAGATTTTGTTGTTATAATTACCATTTATTATATCAAAAGAAAAAATAATTTAAGACCTAATAAGCAAATAAACATAGATCTAAAATTTACTGAAGTCAAAACATAGTGGCACTTTTTATATTGTGTGTTCTAAACTTCATTTAAAGCATCTTATATATTGAAGTTCAGATTTCTCACTTATATAACCTTAAATGTAACCATAAAGTTAAAAAGCCTTAGAGTCTATCTCATTGAAATAATTATTTCATGAAACAAAATAATGATGTACCATGGTAGTGATAATTCTGTATACAACTCAACTTATAGTATATGATTGTATTGTCATGCTTTTTATGGTTTTACTTTAGATTTTTTTAATTAATTTTTATTGGAGTATGGTTGCTTTACAATGTTGTGTTAGCCTCCGCTGCACAACAGAATGAATCAGCCATACATATAGAGATATCTCCTACTTTAGATTTTTAACCTATTTAAAAAGTCAAAACAACAATCATTATAAACAACACAAAGTGGCAGTCTTCTGCTACTCAGTAGCATTTAAAATACATTAATTATGTCCATGCATAAAAGTATTTTTCAGTCCATTTTGTAAAAGCCATTTTCAAAGCACTATATATCACCATGTTAATTTATTATAGTATCTAACTATGTGACTTTTATATGGATCTTGAAAATATCATATGCAAAAGAGAAAAATACTTAGAAGAAATTCATTTGTAATACATGCAGTACCTTTTAGAAATGTATATGTTTGAACACAGTCACCTAAGAATAGCAGCCACACTTTTTTTTAGTTTATACACACTAAATTTATATTTGAGTACTGCCGTTAATTACCCAAACATATTATCCATATGGCAGACTATTAAGCCATTACTATTAAAATTGTGCAGTCCAGTCTGGCTTCATGTAAAAAGTCAACTGCAAATCTGATAGCTAAATTCTTACTTGAAAATTTGCTGCATTGTTATATTTAAAGTACATTCTTGAAAATTATGCTCTTGGCTTTTTAGGTATCTTGTAAGAACAATATCTAGTGACAGTCATTATATGAACAGTAGTTGAGCTGAAATTCTGTTTTATTTTTCCTCATGAGTGTTTGTAGCTAAAGGCTTAATTTAATCCTCAAATAAAATATTCCATTAATGCACATTTTCTCATTTCATTTTTTTACTTGAGTCATTCTTAAATAAAATTTAGGTAGTGTTTCCTCCTATAAGAATATGTGCATGCTGATTCTTTGCAAAAAGGATTTGACATATTTTTCATAAGAAACTGTTACAAAATTAATATATATAAACGAATGACAGAATTTTAAAAAGGAACATACATATATGATACTAGCATATATGGTTGACTACACATTTGGTATTGAGAGCTTCTGAGTAGCTAATGCAAGATGTTATATGGCTCTTGTTGCCAGAAAAGAAGCACCTCCTTTCCTATGCAAGGCAAACTTTGCCTTGTCAATACATTTTAAAAAACATTTCTCAAATAGGTGTTATACCTAGGATCAAAAATGCAGAAACCTATAGGAGACTGTCAGGCAATATAAGTAAATGCATCAGGTTTAAACCCTATAGAGTCATAGCGACTGTGGACAACTGTCTTCTAATAAGAGTAGTTGCTAACAGCTCCTGTCAGTGTTGCCCCTTCTGTAGCTGTGGGTCCCTAAAACGAGGAAGTATGTATGCCTGTGTGTTTGTAAATTTTTCTAATTATAACATGCTGGCAGATACTGCAAAAGATTTTTAAAATACTC